CAAGATTAAGTTACAGAAAAGCAGGGAGGAGGAGCAAGACCCATGCACCTTTTGAATTAGCAGTTTTTAAGCCTACCAGCCTGCATCCAGCCCCAACCCTCTCCACTTTCAGGGCCAGGCCTGCTCCCCTTTCCCCATCCCCCCACCACACCCCTTTTGGGCTGGGGCTGCTGAGACAACCAATCAGAGTGCAAATAAAGCATTACAGACAGACAGACAGAGGCTTTTATATACACATGCATTTAACCCCTGCCCCCTTCGCTCACTAGGATGTGGGTCCAGCTGCAGCTACCCCCCTCCCCTGCCCAATATGCCGGTGCCCTGCCCATGCCACTGCCCTTCACACCCAACCCACAACCCCCCCGCCTCTGTTGGTGCCCCTCACTCCCCAACCACAGCGTCCTGCCCCCCAGCTCTGCCAGGGGGGGAGGGGACCCAGGTCCACAGCCCCATCCCCCCAGCTGCACCCAAGCCCTGGGTGCTGCCTGTAGGAGGCAGCAGCTGCTGCAGCAGAGCAGAGTATGGAGCCTGGCTCCCCCCCTTCCCCATGGGTGGAGCAGAGCCTATGGTGGGGAGGGGCAGGGGTGGGGTGGATGCAGTCTCCCCACTGTGGGCTCGGGCTCCCAGCCCCGCTGCCCTTCACCCCATGGCCTCACTAAGGGGGCCTCAATCCCCCCTGCAAGGAGCTATTCTCCAGGCTACCTAGCGGCAATGTGCATGTGTACATGTGCACATACACAAAGTACCCCCCCTGCTGATCGCCCTCCTCCAGCTCCTCCTAATCCCTTGCAGGCTAGAACTCTGCCAGCCTGAAAGGGAAAACCCACCATTTCCCTCATTTTTCTCCATAAAAAGGAGAAAATCCAGGTTTTACCAAGGTGAACAGAAAACCTGGATCCCTGCTAATGATATTAGCCTTTCAGAAATATACCAATACTAGTAGTTTTCAGATTTTAGCTCACTATTTAGTGTTTACTTAAAGCAAATATGAAACTCTTCCAGCAGACATAAGTTTCCCATGAGCTAAACAGCTGCTAATAGCAGTAGATAATACTAAATCCAAGTACCTCAAGTCCTTTTCTTACAGAAGCTGCAAGACATTTGTAGTTTACCTCCAAATTTGTACTTTGTGCTATTTTGTGAACTAAATGTATCTGTGCATTACGTGTTGTCTTTTTTTTTTTTTTTTTAAATAGATCTCTTTAGTTACTCTATTCTAGGCCAGTGATCACCCCAAGCAGCTACTAGAGAGGGTCAAAACACTCAAAAAAATTAAAATAATTTAGAAATCAAAAAAGCTGTGAAATTACTTGACTTACTGCATACTTGCCCGTCTCTAAACACTCTCATACACAGCATTTAAAGAATCACTCCGATTTATCAGGCAAACATTGTTAACCAATAATAGATTTTCCCATGCTAATGTGTCATTAAAATCAGTGAGAAAAATCTTTTAAAAAATAGGTACTTAAAAGTAATATATAGTCATAGCTTGTTTATTAGCTTAATTCATATCACTTTGAAGATAATGACAAAGACAATCCCCCTGATATACCCAAAGTACTCTGGTGACATCTTTACTGTAGGGACATGAGGGAAGGAAACTCTAGAGAAGTGTCACCAAAACTTTAAGAACTTCCAGCCCTTCATCAAAGCAACTCCGGAATAATCCATCCAGCAAATTTATTTCCTAGACACCATAGTGAAAGTTTGCAATGGCCACATCGCCACCATATTGTAACAGCAACTAACTGACCAATACAGCCATTTTCATACCACCAGCTTTTATCCTAAACATACCACTTGATACATCATCTACTGCTAAGCTCTAAGTTACACCAGTATCTGCTCTGATGTCACCAACCAAAACGAGCACAATAACAACATAATCCCAAAACTGTAGCCACTCAAGCCAACAACGCCAAACTCAGACCTCACTCTTAGTTACAATAATATCAACCCCAAGATGAGGACAACAGACCTCCTCTGGTTGTCACCCCTGGTCCCCAGCTTCAATACATCATTAATGAACTCCAACCCTATCTGGAAAAGGACAACCAAAAGTAGCCATGGGTGACAAACTTGCCTTGGCTTACAGACATCCCCCATACCTCAAAGAGCATCTCTCAAGTAACTGGCTGGTTACCCAAGTCACTCTCAACAAGGCACCAACCCTTCCAACAAACCCAGATGCATGCTGTGGCCTTTCATCAACACAGGCCACTTCATGATTGGACTAAATAACAGATTATAACATCCAATGCTCATTCACAGCATGTCTACCAATACCATATAGGTCATCACCTACCTACAGTACTGTCTATATTGGATAGATAGGGCAATCCACATGTAAGAATGAACGAACACTAATCTGAACACCAGTAGCTCCAGAAAGATGCACAAGCCCGTGTCAGAACACTTTAACATCCCTGGACAGTCCATCATTTTTCTCAAAGTAACTCTTCATAGACAACAAAACTTTAAAAACAAGCTTGAATGGGAAACTGTGGAGCAGGAAATCACAGGCTGACTGTGTTAAGTATAGTCTAAACAGGGATGCTGGAGTCCTGTCTTCTCAAACTTTTGGGACACCTTTGTCCCTATGGGTCTATTGCTTGGTTGCCCCTCCCAGAAGTGCTCCCCCTCCTTCCCTCATCTTTTCATATCAGTCTGTCTATTTTATATGCTGCTCAGTGCGACTCCTTTCACAGCATCGGGCTCAAGGACAATTATTCTCTCTCTCTCTCTCTGCGTGAGTCTATAAGGTGCAAATCCACCCTGCCTTAAGATGACTTCACAAACTTTATGCAGCCAAAGATGACCAAATATATCTGCAGTATTGTTCTTTGAATAAGGTATGTCCACAGTAAACATTAAAAGCTACTTTAATAAGGAATAGCTTTCATCTTTTGATGCACATCAGAAAACAATGCATCTAAATCTTATGCTTTGTTGGAGACATCCAACAACCACACATGAATTCATTACCTTACAATAGGACAATAAAATTTCTAAACAAGGCAGTCAATTAATTAAGGATGATTTGACAAGCAAGGTTAGTTACCTGTTAAAATGATGCCGACAAAGATCCAAGCACAGAGGAAGAGGTTTCCTGTAAGAGGGCTATAGGCTGATGTGAGCTTTCCTTGAACCAGTGTAAAAAGAATCCCGAATATCTGTAAGATAATTTCAGAGTATTAGTCTCATTTAAAGACATGTATTTTTTTATTTATGAAAATTCAGATTAGTATACTGGTCATATAGTTACAAGAAGGAATAGTATACAACAAATAGTACAACTAGCAGTAGCCAAATCTACACTCTTTTAAACACTGCAGCAGAGCAGCTTCAATATTGTACAACAGGGCTATCAAACTTCTAGGAAGCCAGGAGCCAAGTGTCCCACACGCTGCGCCACAGGCCCCCTCCAGGACATGCAAACACTCATACTGCAGGTGCCCCCCCGCCCCCCGCAAACCCACTGCATTGTGTACCCATTCAGTCCTAGGCTCACCCTCAGCTTTCAACACTGCGCTGCTCTGCCCTGCCTTCCGGTATGTGGGGACAGGACATGAAAGCCAGAGAAGAGAGCAGCTCTGCCTGCAGCCCAAAGACCAACAGTTGTACAGCTCTGTCATTATAAGCATAAAATAACCTGTGCTGAAGCATTAAGGAGTCCTGATGAAGTTCCTTCTGATTCTGGGTATGTAATTTCCACAGCAAACTCAAAGCCAAGAGGGAGATAGCCAGTCATGAAGAAACTGCCAAAACAGCAAACAAGAGTATCAAAGATGTGGCTGAGACAAAAATCTGAACAGAACTACTAGGTTCAAGTCTTCTGTATTTGCTTTCAAGACGCTATGTAAAACTCAGTACTCAATTCTGCCCTTCTCCTTTCTTAAAACTTCATTTTAACATCTCCCTCCTCTTTCCTGATCCTTCCCACCAACTGATACCAGCCCTAAACACATTTATCCAGGCCTTTAAGCCACCTCTCTGTTATTCTCAACCTTTTTAGCCTCAAGGCACCCCTCCAAAAATGCCAGCTCATTTTCACTCATGTTTTGACTATGGACAAATAGTCCAATAGAGCAAAGAAATCAGAATTTAGTTCTGCTGCAAAGAACTCAGAAAAGTCAGAATGGTTTTAACAGTGGATTTCCATTTTAAACCTCTGGGTTTAAATCTTGTGAATCATAGCACCCTGATTGACAATCACTGCTCTACAGAGAAATGCACCCCCTTTTTTGCTTTGGTCCAAAAAAGCCACTTCACTTCCCTTACTTAAGCAAGACATAAGTAGTCAACTTGGTCTCTTAATTTATTTAAGCAAACAGTTCACTTATCAAAGAGCTTGGAGAAAATAGCTATCACCAGAGAATGCCTTAGGAGTATGGAATTCTACCTGGGGAATGCTGTTGCACTGGGGAAACTCAGGCAACAAAATAACTGGAGTGGGGAATGAAGTTTAGTGTACTTCAGTTTTTAAACTGAAAGTTAGAAGACTAACGCAGAAGTTCACCATAAATATTTTTCTTGTATATTGATTGCATCCTTTTGTTCCACCCTTCTTAGCTTTTCCAAACTATATACTTTGGGACAAGGACTTCACCTTCCTCTGCATTTGGGGTATGCTGAGAATATTTTAAGTGCTACCAAAAGATAAATCATAGACAAATCAGTGAGCTTAGATTCAATCCCCTTCACTTTGGTTTACACAGGGCCTGTTCCACAGCCCAAAGACAAAAGAATGACATGTCTTTCAGCAGGTTTGAATCAGGCCTATAAGGCAGGCTCAAGTATGATCTCTTGTTATAGCAGTAGACAAGAAAATGTGAGTGCATGAGTATAAGCATGTGAGTAAATTCACAGGCATCAGCTGAGTTGCTCTAGATTTCTGCTGTTTTAACAGAAACAAGAACTTGCTTCACCATTTCTATAACAGAAGACAGGCTGCATAACAGATTTATGGGGGTTGTCCTTCAGTGAGAGAGACAACAGCAGATTAGATAAGTCTCAAATATTGCCTAAATTAGGATCACAATAGGCCTTCCCTTTTGTTCCTTACCCAAGTACTCCTCCGGTCACAAACACTACCACGAGATATCCAAGGTTGAGGGTGAAAGTAAATACGATCATTCCAATAAAAGAAAGAATGTAAACCATCAAAGTTGTCTGTCTGCAAATAAAATTCACATGTTATTAAACAAAGAAAGTGCATACTGCCAGACATCACATATATCTATAGGACTCTTGTCTTTACTACAACTGAAATACCATGATTTTTTCAAGCTGCTTGAGGCAGTTTTGACTCGGAGATACCATGCAATTCAGGGAGAACCAGACCCTCCCCTACCCACTCTTCCCCCCCACCCCTCATAGAACAGGAGTGCTCCCCATGGGTCCAAAAATGTGGCAGCTGGAGAGCACTGGCAGGATTAATTGCCACTTCCCTGCTGCCAAATTGTCTGGACCTGTGTGGAGCCCAGAAGACCAGAAAGTATGGTACCGTGTGCTAGATCAGGCAGTATGGGGCAGGATCTAGGAGGTGCCCTGCAGATACGGCCTGCAGACTGGCCCTGTGCCATTCATCCAGCCCATAGGGACAAAAGATTAAGCACCACTATTATATAGTACCTTGTGCCTTGAATAAAGGGGCTGAGTGCTTTGTTCAGATAACAAATCAATTACGCCAGCTAGTAGCTCAAGGCCCTTCTATTTCCCTTCTTTGTTGTATCTCCTGAACCACACTGCTGAAGTGTATAACAAGCCATAGCTCCAGCACCCAAGCTGAACACTGGTACTAAGAGCAGTTAAAATTCAATTAAGAAACAAAGACAAACAGGCCCGGTTAGAATGCATTACTCATCTTAAGGACGATTTTGATTTCACTATTAATTTAAAAAACTGTATTAATGGTTATAGTCTGAAAAACTGAGACATGAAACTCACTGGTTAGAAGATAATCCATATGCAGGCAAGCAACCACTGAACAGCTTAATATCCATTAGGGCTATTAAAAGTAATATCCACATTTTATAAGAAAGAGTCACTGAAAGAAGAACTCTACCCTAGGATCAAGAGTTCTTGGCTGGGAAGGGATTAAAAACAAACAAACAACAAAGCACAAACCTCAAAAACTATACAATTCACATTTGCCTTGTGCAATTTTGCAGTGTGCCACAGCATGATACACAACAGAATTGTGTCCTGTAACAGTATTCTGTCCTGTGCATACTACCCGAATTGTACAAGGTTCGGGCTCGTTAAAACAGGAGATGATACAAAAATTGATCTCGCAATTAAACTCTTATTTTACAAAATGACAATAGTGTGGGACCTGAGCCTATGTTCTCCCAGAGAATGAATCTCACAAGTCCGAGTTGGAATAAAAGATCCTGGCAGTACCACCTTCCCTCCCATTCAGAGATGTCTCTCCTATTTTGCTAAAATTGCACTACACATGTTCCAGGCACAGAAAGTGACAAACACTCCTTAAAAGTCATCATTCCCTTACTCCCTGCTAGTGCGGAGCTCAGCCCAGCTCTACCACACTTCTGGTGGGCAGAACCCAATGAGAGAGTTTCAGACTGTAACCAGAGTCTTCATCACAGCATTTCCTCGAAGCTGATGAAAGATCAGGAATATACTTTATTTAGTCATCAATTAGTTTCTCCCCTTCAGTCATACACATTTATTTTTTTGTTTTGTTTTAAAAAGTGACAAAATAGAGCATTTTCCCAAACAGCCTTGCATCTGCTTTACCCTTGCCCAACCCACTCATCACCACTTACTTGTATGTTTTTGTGTAATCCAGCCACAAACCACAGATTATGGAACCAACCATTCCCGCTACTACCAGGGTCAAGCCAATCCTCCCAGCATTCACTTCTTCTCCCTTGCAACAGATATTTAGATACTGTTTTAATACATTTACTTCTATTCAGGGACTCTGGCTCAGTCTTCTTTAACTATCATAAGTACAACATCAACAATTTATCATTCAATATCTATATGGCATAAGACATTTTCAAAATACAAAGGAAATGCTGAATCCCTACTCACTGAAGCATTTCAGACATACGGAACACCAATTCTACATGCCATCCATACAGTTAAAGAAAGGCAAAGGAGCCAAGGGGAAAAGGTGAAAGAAAAAAAAAATACCACTTACTGGATAATGAGTTATTATCATTTGGTTTAATAATGTGGAAATGGAATAAAACGCTCCCGTCATGATACCTAAAACAAAAAGACAAGGTGATGTATGCTCTATACTATACTGTGTCATAAAAATAACTGTCAGAAATAAGTCAGATAATATTTTTTTTAATGAGTGGTTCTCAATCTCAACCTAAACTCAAGGTACCCCATAGTAGACTCATGGCACCCTTTGGAAAAAGTGTCTTAGTTTTAATGCCATGGCAGAAAAACAAAATGAGGGCAAGGGGTACATAGCAGGATGCCCTGCTTGTGCCCCTTGCTCCCCACCCACAGCCCCTGGCCCCCCACCCGGGCTCTGTGGATGCCAGCAGCTACTCCGGCTCTGGGTAGCTGCTGGAGCCTGGGCTGCTCCAAGCAGGACTTGCAGCATCCCAGCTGCCTGCTGGAAGCACCCTGGGATCCCGGCTGGCAGCAGCTCCTGAGAGCCGGGGCAGCTCCAGTCAGGAGGCTCCAAACAGCTGCGCCAGGCTCCAGCATCAGCTCCACACCAGTGCATGCAGGCATGCCTTGGAGCGGGCGGTGGGGGAGGGGCCTGAGGCAGCACAGCCCCAGTCTCTCCCCGGCTCTCGGCACAGAGGTGATAAGCCCAGCACAGTTGTTTGTAGCCAGCCCGGGCTCACAAGCAGCAGGCTGGCTACAAACATCTGTGCTGGGCTCATCACCTCTGTGACAGGAACAGGGGAGAGACTGGGGCTGCGCTGCCTCAGGCCCTGCCCCCACTGCCCGTTCAGAGGCGCGCCTGCATGCACCAGTGCAGAGCTGGCGCAGGTGTTTGGAGCCTCCCAGCTGCAGCCACCCCGGCTCTGGGGAGCTGCTGCCAGCCGGGATCCCGGGCTGCTCCCAGCAGGAAGCTGGGATGCTGCAAGCCCTACTCGGAGCAGCCTGGGCTATCGCTGGCAGCAGCTTTCTGGAGCCAGGGCTGGCTGCGGCATACCAAGCAAAATGGCATTACATTCCAAGCTTGGCACGTGTGCCAGGGGTTGCCGACCCCTGATATAGATAGTCAAGCTACCAGTCTGATATCTAGTTACTGCACACATTTTTTTATTTCTGTTTCTATGCATATCACACCTCCATAACCTGTCCTCAGGCTTTCAGAGATCTGCTTCTGATAAGCCACTATTTGGCTAAATGAGGAGAATTAGGTTGACCGGTTTGGAGATCCAAGTTCACCAAGCCAAAGATGGACACAGGCAAGTGAAAGCCCTCACATGTGAATGTTTTTCATAACAGTAAGGGCTTTGTTGAACATTACCCTTATGACATCAAATCTACAGACTATGTGGTCTCAAGTTGGAACATGCTGTGTGTGGTCCCAAATTAAGGGTCAATACAGTCTCTGATCTGCACAGCACTGACTTGCTGCTAGAGTGCTGTAAGCAGGGGTGTGGCTAGGAGCCAGGAAACCCTGGCTCTATCCCTGTTGAGTGTGGGAGGTGGAGCAGATAGTGTAGGCAAAGGGTGGGAAGTGGATGCAGTCACAGGAGCATGCATCTGGGAAGCAGAGAAGTGTGGGGGCACATGTGCTTCCTTGCACAGGATCCCCACATTCCTGCCCTCAGATGGGCTGCAAAGTCATACAATACCACTTACCATAGCTTATTAGCAAAAGCACAAAAGGAACATTTCTGAACAGGTTAATTATTGACTGCTTATAGGAGTAGCCCTCAGGAGGCTGGTCCCGAAGAACTGCTTGAGCTTGACTTGGAGGATATTTAGGCCTTTCCTTAAACACTGTTGGAGAAAAGAAAAAGCATTTTAACTTCCCCACCTTTACAGGTCATGAGTTTTTATTTGAAAACATAAAATATTGTGGTCTAATGGACTTTATGAAATGGAGAGTCTTGCTCATGCTTTATAAGTTGTCACAATAATCAGAGAAATCTGTCTCTCTTTTCAGTTTTTAGGTGACTTGAAAGTTCACATATGGCAGGGTAAATACAAGCCCTTGTGCTGGACCAGATAGTCCAAACTGCAGTTGGAGTCCCCAGAGATAAGCAAACAAGGGCATTAGCACCTCCCTAAACAGATCTCAAGCCACCCACACTTCAATAACATGAAAGAGCTCATGTCTTGTAATTTGAGCATTAAGACAGATTCGCACGGAGATTCTTTTTTGCATATTGTGCAATTTCTAAAAAGATTTAAACTTCCCTTACTTTGCATACCCATCAAGAGAGAGAGTCAGATTACTGCAGCTCATTTGCCTTTTTCTGATTGACCCCACAGATAAGCAAAGAACACATTTAACTTGTGAAAACTTAATCTGTGTTATTGTCCTTACATTAGAGGACTGGCAGAAAGAGAAAAAAGTGTTTAAACTGTTGATGGCTCTTCCTCCTCCTCGCCCCCTATTTTGTTCTTGTACTGGAGAGGAAGTCTGCTCTCTTCCTTCAAAGCCTCTTTGCACCCTAGTTAGATAAGAGATATCCCTTTTGGTTAACATTGCTAACAACTGACACATTCAGAAAAAATAAGAACTACTCAATATTTTCAGGATAAATCAACTGCTTTATAAAGTAAGCAGAAGTTAGATGATCTACTCTTCATCATAAAGTATTTCTGTGTTCTGTTTCCAGAAGCCAGAAGAGGGTCATCTGCCTCCTTTTTTCAGCTATAGGAGCAGAATAACTTTTCTGCCTCAAATCTGCACCATATAGGACAAGGGCAGAAGATTTAAAAAAAAAGACACGCCTCCCTTTGTGGAAGACCTGTACAAGACAGTATATGGACAAATGTACAAATGTAGCGGCTTCAAAAAAGGAGCAGAGGAAGATGGAAGGAAAGTGAGGGAAGCTGGGGACTGCCAAACAGGTATTATGCTGTAACCATTACCTGTGCATGAGCCTGCAGCAATATGAAGCCTGTGGCAAAATCATCCCAGCTTCAAGCAGCACCGAAGTTGGGGCAAGTTTTGCTACACTTGTATGGCTACTAGCTCCTGAACATCTAAAAGTTACAACCTAACAGCTGCTGTAGTACTCCAAAGCAGCAGCTCCCCCTCCCCTTTTGAAGCTAAGTATATGATTATCCATACCCTCCATATACTATTTACACCCTGATTTACAGGGCATGACTTTTGTATACAATGCCTCATGCAGATCCAATAGAGAAGGTCAAATGTCACCCTCCAATGATTAAAGATTCTACATTATGCAAACAGAAAGGTATACAACAAGAAGAGAATATTGTGGTACTTAAAATTCCATGCTTTGGTACAGGTTTCTCTCAAACTTACCTCTGTGTTGCAGAGGTAAGGGGAAGGGGGAATTGTGGAAGAGTATAAAACACTTCTGTTCAGAAGTTGAATTAGAAGTTGGATTTTTGTAAATGTATCATTAGCTACACTCTGGGATTTGTTTAGGGATCCTTTGGATAAAAGAACAGGGGCTTCCCAAAAAATGTGTGGCCTGCTGGCCAAATGCAGCCTGTAAGCCCTTTTATGCAGCTTGCCACCCAGGACTGCCCCTCTGAAATGGCCAAACTCCTGGAAACCCTGACATTAACATATTACTGAGTTTTGTATAACGATGGCCATACCGATACCTCAGTAGTCCACAAATGTAAAAACATTATTATAATTGTCCACATGACAGTCAGCTGGGTTTGATGATTTACCAATACTTTCCCCTTTGCATTTGGGGATAGGATGAGGGCATAGAACCAAAATAGAAAGTGTGTAATTGCTCTGCGAACAAAGCCTGAACACAAAAATGCTATTATAGACTTGTCTTTCATAAAAAAAAGTAGTGTTTCCTTAATGTAGGGAGGCAAACAGGGTCCAAAAAGAAAAGCATCTGATTCAATAAGGCAAAGGACTGAAACGCTGTTGTAGCTGCAATGGTCCAGGAACTGTACAAGCACAACAGGGGGTTTTCTGTAATCTTTTACTTGACCAGGCTAGGGATGCACCAATAGAGATTTTTGGGGCCGATACCGATAGTTGATTTTTAAGGAGGTATATTGGCCAGTACTGATCCAACTTCCGATATCAGCCCAGCAGCTTGGAGAGTTGCATGTAGCTGGTCAGTCTGGTATGATGGAAGGGGAGGGGCGAGGGAAGGGGTATGGAGGAGTGCAGATCAAGGCCCCATGGTGAGGGAGGAGTGCGGCTGGGGCCCACACTGCTCTTGACGCTCATCTGGGAGGGCATGCAGGGGGGCTTGTGCCCCCAGATCTGTGTGGGGCGGGCTGGGAAGTGCCCCTCGTTTTACGGACTACAGAAGGATATGCAGCTTCATGGAACAAGCTAGAACAGAGCAGCAAGTGTCCCATGATCCAAGGTGATTTTGATTTGCAATATAAAACAGAGCTGTCTGCCTGGACTAGCCAGTGTGAAGATGCTTAGAGTTCTCCTGACACATCCAGAAGTTGTACCACCTGACAAAGTAAAGCAATCAGAATGATAACAGGTCTTATCCCCTCTAATTATGAATGGGCATAAGAGACCCAAATAAAGTAGGTGAATTTTGCTGCAGTCCAACAGGAACATTTCGCTTTTCTACCCTGAGCTTTACATTTCTACACCTGGAACTAGCCACGAAAGAAAAAGAAACTGAAGTAGTTCACTGGGGCCAGGTGGCTCCCAATAACTTCAGCTCAAAGTGTTCAGTGCTTTGAGGTGCCCCAGTTCAATATTAGTGTAGACAGAGCTGCAATGAGAAGTGTACTTTGACAGTGTAGTCTTTTGTTCGGTAAACTGGTACCATCTAGACCAGCAAAAGCACTCTTTCACTGATAAACCTATTACACCAAACCTTTTGTTTTAGACTAAATACAAGGATGTTTAGGTCATATGACAACCCACAGACCTTAAGAATACAAAATTCCACAGTATAATCTAAATGCTGGCAAATACCATTGTTTGTAACCAAACAAAACCTTGAGGTGAATTTGACTTGCCTAGATACTTGCACAGAGCTTGATGTAAGCACTTCCTAAACACCTGCCCCTGCACGACTTACTCTGAACAAGTGGTGAATTGACTCAACAAAAACAACAAAACAAAACAAAAAATTATGCTATATTTTTGCTTCAAAACCAAAATGCAAAAGAAAGACAATTCAAAACTGCAATTTGTTCTGACAGCAGCTCTAAATTTCACTAACTGCAGCTGTTAAGTGTTCTGTTCACATATTTCTTCTAATAAGTTAAGGATAATAACTAAGTCACTTACCTACTCCTGTTATTAAGAACAAAATTGTAGATACAACTGCTGTTCCATAGAACATGATGCCGATATTATGCTGCATTAAATCAATATCATCAACTGTATTTGGAACCAAGACTGGTGGTAACAGAAAACCTATTGCAGTACCAAGCTGTAAAAAGAAAAGCACAAGTACCATTTTCCTGTGAACATCAGCTATCAAAACGATAAAGAGCCCTATAATGTTGAACAGCACAGAATGGTATGTACAGAAATTACAAAGAGAATGCATTTCTGAATGCATTAGTAAAGTAATAGTCTGAAATTTTTACTGATGTTTAACAACTAATATTTTCCCACTCTACTTTCCTCCTCTTCATTTCTGAATTCAATTCCAGTGCTACCATTTGTAACAAGAGACATTGAAAAAAGAGTCACAGAGTTCTCTTTTCATGAAGAGAATTCCACATGAGAACATTATCATTTAATGCTCACACTAACTTGACCAGCTGTCCTGCAACTGACTGTATAGGACATGTGAAAAAGTACTCGAGTTTCTTATAAGCTAGTCTTTCTTCCCTTTGCAATCATAAATCGGCATTTGACATCACAATCCTTCTAAAGAAACAAAGTTCAACATTAAGGTTTTTACCACAGGACTGATCAGGACACAGGAGCAAGCAAAATGGGAATGCCTTCTAAGAAATACCATTTTTATTTATTATCAAGCATGGAAAAGAGAGTTACAAAAATGTAAGAGTGTTGGATTTGTATCTTGGGTCAGTTTCAATTCACCATTTGCTTTTGTATTCAAGAAATTGGAAAGATGAGACTTAAAATCTATATACAGCTGCCTTATATAGATCTGTAAAACTAAAGCATTTGAAAATTTTCCTCCAACAGAATAACAGCATAAGCTTCTTTTAAAATGCTCTCCATTGTATTTCTGTTACTTCATCCAAACATAGTATATTTCATCAGGAAAATGTGAAAGTGTCCTTTAGGTTAAAAAGACCATAAATTATTTGAGGCATTTCCTATTACAAGGGCATCCAAAAACTTTATCAAACAATTGGTAAGGGCTAAAACAAATAAATCAAGCACTCAGGAGTTATAAGAATGCTGGGATTCAAGCTGCCTGAAAACTTTCTGCCCTCCCCCCCTCCAACCATGCATATGCATTATGCCACACTAATTATTTTTACCCTGCACAGGACTACTGCTTCATTCAGTGCACAGAATGGACACAGCACAGTGCAGAAATCATTTCCTTTCATCTTTTTCACTCAATATGGGGTTTAAAGCACCCCCCCATCCACACATACACAATGCACTAAGCACAGAATTAAGAATTTCTTTAAGCTACATCCATTCTAGTATACATTCACAAACAACACCCCTCTGTCATCTCCACTTCACAGAACAAGGAGACGAGGCACAGAGATAAACGCTGAAGATGTAAACTGATTTTGGACACCAAAATTAAGGGCTCTGGGCCTGTTTTGTTTTGGGGGGAGGGAAGAGGAAGGAGGGAAGGGTACTTAGCACTTCACAGCACTTGAACTATGGAAAAGAAAGCTCCCAGTTGCAAAAACTGAACACTTCTGCAAAGCAAACTAGTGGTTTTCAGGAACTGCAATATTTGGCCAACATAGGGTTAGTGACATGTAAGCAAAAAAAAAAAAAAAATCACAGCCCTAATTAGTAGAACTATGTTTGATTTAAGTTATATTTGTACAAAAATCCTTTTGCCAGCATAGTTTATATTATTCAGGGAAGTGGTTTAACTAGAGAGGAGTTAGTGTTGGTCTAAAGTCAGGCAGAAGGCAGGGTAGAGTTGCACCCTATAGACAAACTCAGCTAAGTTAGTCCAGCAGGCAACAACCTTTTTAGACTGCAGCCCTAAGTCACCCCATTCTGGTCAGAGGCAGTTGGACAGAGAGGTACTAGAACCCAGCTGCCACTGCTACTCTTCATGGGAGAGCACCCACAGCTGAAGCTAGAGGGTGCACCAATACATCGGTCCAATATCGGATCGGCACTGATATACAGAAAACTGGCTGTATTGGAAATCGGCCCGATGCAGCTGATAATTTGGCCAATAAACGCGCATGTGTGTATGCGGCATGCAGGCAGTGAGGAATGTGGAAAGCTGCGTACAGCTAGTAAGTGGAAGGGGAGGGGAAAGGGGTGTGGGGGGGCAAATCAACACCCCCCCCATGGTGGGGGAGGGAGAGAATGGTGCTGCCCAGCAGGGGTGGGACAGAGGATGGAGCCATGGCTCGTACAGAGGGTGCAAGGAGGGGCTCCCACTGCTGCGTGCGCCACCAGGAGGGTACAGTGCAGGGGTGCAGGGTGCATGCCCCTGGATCTGCGTGGGGCAGGGCAGGCAGGCTGCAGCTGTGGGGTGGATCTGGGGCTGCATTGGGCTCTTCTTGGTGGGGGCAGGGCTCGGGGTGAGCAGCAGCAGTGCTGGGAGGGGGGCTATGGCAAAATTTGTGGTGGCTGCAGCCCCCCCATACCCCTCTCCCAGCACCGCCACCACCCGTTCTGAGCCCAGCCCCAGCACACAGCTGCAGCCTGCGCCCCCACCCTGCACATCTGGGAGCACCCCCCTTCCCTCCTGGGGTGGAAGCAGCAGTGGGAACAGCCCCCCCAACCCCTGGACAAGCCGCAGCTGTGTCCCATCCCCACAGCGTCTGCCCCACTCGCTCCTTCCCTCACCGCGGGGGGGCATTAATCTCCCCTCCCTTTCCACCACAACAGACTTACCAACTGTGCTCAGCTGTATTGGAAATCGGATTTATATCAGCCGATAAGCCTCCTTAAAAAAAATTGGCTATTGGTATCAGCCTCCAAAACCTCTATCGGTGCACCCCTAGCTGAAGGCCCCACCACTGAAAGCCAGCAAGCCCACAGGTCAGATTCAATGGCTCCACAGGATGGCCTGTGGGCCATAGATTGCCAACTCTAAATTAGTCTTTACAGTGCAAGATTAACCTGCCTTCTGCTTAACTATAAAAAAACTATAAGAAGAAATCCTTGTCTGAGCTCAGAACCCCCAAGAAGGGCTATGAGAGCAAACTGTTTGGAGTGTATGGGTGCCAAACAACGCAGTTAGTGTGCAAACGCCTACAGATCATTCACAAGATAAACCCAAAGATGCCAATAGGAATTTAGTGTTGAAATATTTTGACCCACTGCAGTCTTTCAAAGTGCTTTCAGCAACAGAAGAATTTCTCTGGTATTTTTCCATGGGCAAAAAGACTGGAATTTTCCAGAGTGCCTTGAGTCTAAAAAGTTTTGAGAAACACTCTTTCAGCAAAAAAAAAAAAAAAAAAAAAGG